AAGCAAATAATAATAATAATAATAATAATAATAATAATAATAATAATAATAATAATACATGGGCTGCATACGAGCCTATTTTTACATAATAAGATTCAATATGTCGGAATAATATACAATGACTGAAACAGCACATGGAAACAAAAATGTAAGAAATATACCTATAAAAACTGGCAAACTAAATAAGCTTACAACAAAAGAAGTTGTAATAGTTCGTGTCTATTGTCCAAATTCCGCAAGAAGGTGAGACAGGAACAGAAGATGTTCGCAAAACTTGATGACACTGACAATTGTCTTGGTCGAAAAATTCGAAGAAAGAATAGAGGAGTCATAAAGCATTTGGTTTAACCAACCTTGAATAATGCTGTCAACCGATAACCCGTGGAAGAAACGTGTGTGTCAGTGCGCTTAATTGATTTTCGCCCATTAACGAGGGAAGGCGAGTATTAGTTGAATTCGGAAAAATCCACGGACGACGGGCAAACATAGATAAACGTTCGTTAGCGGCTTTTATAGCATTCCGCGGACCCGCGTGCATTCTAGCGGCGTTAAATCCGCTTTCTAGAGATTACGCACGGGGAAATTTCCTGCGTTTTACTTTGGTGAGCAAACAGCAATAGTTTTGAAACATAGCGGAATACAAACAATGGCCGCGAGTCGAAAGCGGGGATCGTAAAAAATGGTCTGCGTAATTTCCTCGAGTAATAAAAAAAAAGGGGAGAGAATCGACGTTAGGGTAATAGGTGCACGAGGTTGCGACACACTCTCACGATTTGCTAAAGGTCCTGTCATTCACGTTGCGCTTGTTCCACGGAGTTCCAGCCACCCGTGGGTGAACCACGTTCAAACGATTAAGCTGTTAGCCCATTTTCTCGTAGCGTTTAAACACGTTTAGACTGTAAATTTCGCTGGACGATAATTCGCGCGTAAACTCGGCCGCGTTATTGCAAAAATATTACGCGACTTGCGATTAAAAGTTGCCAACGGAATCGAGCATGGCTTGAATCGAAAGTACGGGCGCCTTCGTCGCGCTCCCGACTCGCATAAATCGACTTTGATCTTGCGAAAGAAACGAACGCGGTTTTCGCAGTATAAAACGACCAGACCGTGGGTCTTTATGCAAAACGAAAATCGTTTGCGTCGATGGTACGGAGACGAAGTTGAATGAATATTCGTTCCGGCGTTTAATCACTTTTGACACAGTCAAATTGGTATAACAACTTCTCTCATGTTCTCTCCAAATTCGTCCGCTCGGTTCCGGCACGAGAGCGCAGAAAATTCGCAGTCTAATAATGACCGGCTGAAACGATCGGCGTCGAACGCGTTACTCGCTACATCGTTGAATCGAATAAAACGTCGCCCGTCTAGTTTTTGCGGGGATGTGCATGACTGTCAGTATTTACTGCATCGATCTATTCCACGTGTCGTTAATATCCGCAATTATTTGATTCGGAACTCGCTCCGTTCGAGCGAAGGAACGACGATCGAGAGGAGAGTGGGGAGGTAGGGTAGTGGAGCCGGTTATTGCCGGGTGACCAATTGCTGTGCCTTTGGCGTTTTTCGGATTTAATTAACTTTTTATCGGGTACCATTTATCGTGTCACGGATATTAAGTTTGTTTATTAGAAATGATAAATATAATAAATGAATGTAAGATATACCAAATAGAAATAATATTTTAGCCAAAGGCACAGCTATCGGACAGCCTACGCTTAAGCGGAAACGTTCAAAAAATCAGAGCACTGACCTCCATTTTGAGCTTCGCCAGAAAGTGCGGATGGTGTGTGCTCATCAAGCTGTTCAAGTGTGTTAATGGAGTAGGAGCGTTGGCCGGTATGGACCCATTGTCCGAGGAGTGCGGGTTGCCCTGCAGTGGCTGTTGTGGCAACTCCTCCCCACTCTCCTCATCCTGGAGGTCCGGATCCGACAAATCCTCCTCCTGATGCGACTGAAAGCAGATCAATGATTCTGGTTAGACTGATCGTAGTCTTTATCTTGGTCCGTATTTCGACGTCGTCGAGGGGCTCGCTCTCGTCCCCTCCCCCTCTCGCGGCCCGCTCGCCCCTTCCGTCTCGCGATACCCGCCCTACGACGATAATTACAACTTATTCATTCCGGCGCGGCCGATGCACGCGTGCGAATAATAACGAGAGAAACGTTTTTGATCGCTTTCGTTTCTCATCTCGGCGTTACGCGTGACTCACGCGAACACCGACAGACGGAACGAATATTTCAGTGCATTATAAACGCCGCTGCCTGCTGCTCTCCGGGAATTAATTCAGAAACCTCTCTGCCGCATTCCGCGAATCGCCGTATATGCATATATGTATCTCTTTGTTTCTAGAAACGTCGCACGAATAGTCTGGTTCCATGGCCAAAATTCAGTTTTAATATATTGCAAATGTTTGCGGTTCTAAAAAACTGAGAACTTTTTAAAACACCTAAATCCAATTCGTTTCAGATGTTTCTGTGCTGCGATACGGGGTTCCAAATGCAAAATCATAAAATTAGTAAAATTAAACGTTTCACGCGCGTATGATAGAATAATAGAAGACAGGTTTCAATGACGATTTCGTATACATACATATATTAACTGATGCACTTGAAGTATTGGATGTAGTTTTAATCATTGTTCATCATTTATCATCACGAAATTCTAACTGTGAGGACAGTTTCAAATAATAACTGCAACTAGTTGTTAGCATGAGACCTTTTTTATATGAAAGCTTAAACAATTGCCAAGAAGAGAATATCCAGTTTAGGTGCAACCTCATGCGATCTCTTGCAACTTTCGCGTGTAGAATAATTCCAAGAAATAGATGTCAACAGTATCGGCGCTTGTGTTGAGAGGTCGATTTATGTCATCAGTTTACGACACGAACGCAAACGGAACGGTTCGGTCCGGGAAAGCATTGTTTTAAATTACTTAATTACTTAATTACTTAACTTACGAATATTTATATGTAGTGTCGCGGATCGGTCTCAGCAGGTTACGTTTTGGACGTATGACAGTCGATTACACGTCGATTTACATATATTATTCATTCAAGCACGAAACGTTTACAGGAGAAAAAGTTACTGTCAAACATTGATGCAGGTATTACAGTAATGTCTTTTTAATTGACGCTCAGTTTGTCTACAAAAATGGACAATTTAGGTAGAGAAGATGCAATTATTCGATCCTTGCGGTTCACTTTTATAGTTACTAACTGTCCACAACTATAAAAACGAGCTGCAAGGCACGAATAATCGTATCTCCTCTGTATTACAGTAATGTCTTTTTAATTGACGCTCAGTTTGTCTACAAAAATGGACAATTTAGGTAGAGAAGATGCAATTATTCGATCCTTGCGGTTCACTTTTATAGTTACTAACTGTCCACAACTATAAAAACGAGCTGCAAGGCACGAATAATCGTATCTCCTCTTCTCAAATTGTCCATTCATCTGCACAATCTGAGCATCAGTTAGGGAGACATTACTGTATTCAGTTTTCAAATGGCGATGCTGATTATCTAGTTCCTGATCGTTCATTTGAATCCACACATGCTTCATTAAGTTTCATAAAAAAAATTAACGTGTCTAGAAGAATTGCCTTGAAAAGTACATTGAAAGAAATTCTGACGAATGAGATTATAAATAATCCGAAATTTTGAACGAACACACAAGTACACCCGAAATTCCTGTCCTGTTCGGAATAGCGTCCTATATTTCATGGGAAAAAAGGATCGTTCCCAAACCTTTCGATGAACGTGCGAAACTTCACGATCGCGATTAGGCGTTCCCGACTCGTTGAAAACAGACAGTTGAACGTGCAGGTTATTTCGCGCTGATACGAGCGAAATAAGAGGCCTGGGAAAATGGACGCGGCTCTCTATCGACCGTTCCAGGCATAATCGCAGTAAGGAGGGCAGATATCGAATCATTAAACATTAATTAGGAAAATGGCGAATGAGCCGCGCTATACTCGTATAGCGATAACTGCTATCGTGCGGCATTATTATGCTACGGGTGTCATAAGTGTTTTACGGCCGTGCCCGTTGCACCGGTGCCGAGATAAAACTATACAAAGTGACATTACCGCGAACGGAAATGGACGTCGTAAAACCAGTCCGGAGGTACGGATGTTCGATCGTCTTGTTCGCGAATCGATTCCCCTACCTGGATCGAGCCCGCGATCATGCGTGCTGTCGAATTTTGTGATCCCGCATCTCTTTGTTTTTCTTTCCAATTTTCTGCCGGTTTCGAGTTTCGAGTATCGAGTTTCCATTTTCGACCATAACTTTTGCTTTCTCACGATCGTGACGCGACGACTTATAAGTTATTACCACTTTCTGCGGACAGTGACGTCCGATAACGTCGTCGATAACGTTCCTTTGTAACCCCTTTCTGCGAGATATATTGGGTGGTGGAACGACTTTTTCGCAATTTGTTTACGGTGTCTTGTTCATCCTGTCGGCGTATCTTACGCATACAAAATCACCTATTCTTGGCACCTTTTGGAAATCGCGTTAATTCTGTTAAGCCTCTTACAATTTTTCAGACCAATTTCTGCAAGAAATAAGTCTTCTACTTTATTCTGCAGTGAAGCAGAAATTTATTTATTTACTGTTTATTTGGAGAGCTGTAAAGCCCAATTGTACAATATAAATGGATAAGGAACGCCCAATTTAATAAAATGTCAACTTAGATTAGTTGTAGTATCACATCGATTATTTTGAGAACCGATTGCCTACATTTGTCGGTAGATACTACTCAATTAATTGAGAGAGAGTAGTATTAAACTGACAAATGCATTTAACATGTATTTCGATTTAATTGATGCAGTATAATTTATTGTACAAACTACTAAAAATTGAATTTAGTACAATAATATAATTAACAGAAGAACTGCCTAAACCTGGCTAATTCATAACAATGACAAGATTGGATTTATTTAAACTTCCTACGATTTTTATTATAATATATGCTTGAATGAAGAAGTTCATACAACAATTTCTAACAAAAACATCTTCATAATATCTAAAATTGTAAAAGAAAAAATCGGAGATCAGTCACTTTGACCGGTTTGGAGTTCTAGTGTTAAATAATTGATTCGATAACTATGCACGCACTTCCGCCGCATTTCCTCTGTAAACATTTTTAATACAATCTAATGTACACAAATATAATACGGAACTCAGCCCAATGAAAGAAAAATTGCAGCGGGAACAGAGATCGATCGTGTACGATTGGGGAACGTGATCATCCCCAAAGCAGCTCGTCCAATAGTATAATTTCTTAGGATAACGATGCAGGAAAATTCGGGGGGCGTTCACCGTCCCATCAAGACCGACCAGTGCCCTCTTTATCTACGAAGCTGGCATGCAAATAGATTCATCGAATCTTCGAGCTTATTCAAATGCACTAACCGCGCGCGCGTCTCTACCTGAAAAGGGCGGACTTGGATAAATATATACCTATCGGATGCAGGTGTACCGAACGCGGGGTGCAACGAGGACCGTCACCCGATCTCGGATGAAATCGTGATCAGGGGAGGAAGAAAACGAGGCGATACAACCGGGCTGCCTGTGTCGGCGGCTTTAAGCACGTGTGATAATATTGACCCTTCACGGTGGTCAACGGTGTACAGCTCTCGGCCGATGGAATCCTAATCAAATACCAAACTGTCCTCCATTATTCTGATCCAGTCGGATGCCTGCATCGTCCACGTAATTTCTCATTTTTCCAACTTGATTTGTCCCTTCAGTTTTACTGGCAGTGAACTCTGGACATTTCTTTTTCTTTGACGATGGAAAGCTGAGGTTGGGAATTATTCGAGTAAAACTTAATTTCTACAATATTTCGAATTAAACTGTACACTTATAATATTTCGAATAAATTCTTCGAATTTGAAATTCGAGCAATGCTTCGAACAAAATTGTATACGAGTAAAATTTTATTCGTACGATATTGCAAATAAATTCCTCGAATAAAATTTTATTTGAAAAATATTTCGAATGTTTAATTCGAAATATTCCGAGAAAATTTAGTCGAAATATTACTCGAACAAAATTTTATTCGAAGAATTTATTCGAAATATTTTTGTCGAATAAAATTTTATTCGAACGATGCCCAGCGCGCGCNTATAATATATGCTTGAATGAAGAAGTTCATACAACAATTTCTAACAAAAACATCTTCATAATATCTAAAATTGTAAAAGAAAAAATCGGAGATCAGTCACTTTGACCGGTTTGGAGTTCTAGTGTTAAATAATTGATTCGATAACTATGCACGCACTTCCGCCGCATTTCCTCTGTAAACATTTTTAATACAATCTAATGTACACAAATATAATACGGAACTCAGCCCAATGAAAGAAAAATTGCAGCGGGAACAGAGATCGATCGTGTACGATTGGGGAACGTGATCATCCCCAAAGCAGCTCGTCCAATAGTATAATTTCTTAGGATAACGATGCAGGAAAATTCGGGGGGCGTTCACCGTCCCATCAAGACCGACCAGTGCCCTCTTTATCTACGAAGCTGGCATGCAAATAGATTCATCGAATCTTCGAGCTTATTCAAATGCACTAACCGCGCGCGCGTCTCTACCTGAAAAGGGCGGACTTGGATAAATATATACCTATCGGATGCAGGTGTACCGAACGCGGGGTGCAACGAGGACCGTCACCCGATCTCGGATGAAATCGTGATCAGGGGAGGAAGAAAACGAGGCGATACAACCGGGCTGCCTGTGTCGGCGGCTTTAAGCACGTGTGATAATATTGACCCTTCACGGTGGTCAACGGTGTACAGCTCTCGGCCGATGGAATCCTAATCAAATACCAAACTGTCCTCCATTATTCTGATCCAGTCGGATGCCTGCATCGTCCACGTAATTTCTCATTTTTCCAACTTGATTTGTCCCTTCAGTTTTACTGGCAGTGAACTCTGGACATTTCTTT